TCTTTGCCACTCCCTCAGATTTTGCTCTCAAAGCAGACTTGCAGCCTGTTCCTGGTTTTGTTTTGTAGAAATTACTTATAAAAGCAGAATGTCAGTTTTCTACTTTGAGTTATAAACAGAACCAGGTACTCCTGTTTGTGGATGAGCACATACTGTCCTACAAGGGAAGCCAGAAATGGTCATCCGAAGTGTGCTTGGAGAGCACAGACCCAGCGCGAGGGGGTGCTAGCGAGGCGGGGTGGTGGCCAGGCTAGGGCTGGGGGTGACCCACCTCAGTCTGAGCCCTGAATCTGCCGCTTACTAGCATGTGACCGTGGGCAATAATAATAGCTAATATTTACTGAGGCCAGACTAAATGGCAGCCTGCATCATCTCTTCAACCTTCACAACCACATGTGAGCTAGATGTTCCCATCCCCTGCTTACAGAGGAGGTTGCTGAGGTTTAAAGAAGTCAAAAAGGTATCTGAGTTATCATGATCAGGCCTGGAGGATTGAATCCAGTTCTGACCAAGCCCAGGGCCTGCAACTCTATTTTTATTGTGTTTATTCTTTTTTTTTTTTTCCTTTTTGTCTTTTTTCGCGCCCGGCAACGGATCGCAACCCTCAGTGTCACGCCCGCACCGGACTGGGACCGGCAACGGGACCGCAACCCTCGGCGTTGCTCCCGCACCTCGCTCAGCCAGTGAGCGGGAACCGGTCTGTATGTGGGATCCGAACCCTCGGCGGGAGCGCCACCACGCTCCCAAGCGGCGCACTGTAGCAGTGCGCCACCGGGCCGGCCCTTATTGTGTTTATTCAAAGGCAATATCTGTTACAGGGGTTCCTAAAAATGATAATGGCTACCTCTTTTTTGTTGTTTAAATCTCTTTATTGAGATGTAGTTTGCAGATAATGAAATTCACCAATTTTAAGTGTAAAGTAAGTTTTGACCACCACTGTAATCATGACATAGGATAGTTCTGTCCCTTTCAAAAGTTCTCTCCTGCCCCTTCCTAGTTCTCTCCTCAGACCTCTGACCCTGACAACCACTGATCTCCTTTCCAGTACTAGTTTTAGCTTCTCTAAAATTTTATGTAAATTGCATTATCAGTATGCAGACTTTTGTGTCTGGTTTTTCTTGCTTAACACGATATTTATGAGATTCATCTATGTTGTATATATCAGTAGTTCGTTGCTCTTTATGTCTGAGTGGACTCCATTGTAAGGATGGACCACAGTTTATCCATTTACCATTTTTTCATGTACTCATTTGTTTTTTGTATATCTTCTTTGGCGAAGTGTTTGTTGAAATCTTTTCCAGAGTCTGTACTCTTAACCATGACTCTACCCTGCAAATTTCTTTTCTTTGAGTCTCATCTGTCAAATGGAGATATAAATACAAGCATGGCAGATTCCTGCCTACCCTTCACCCCATCCTCTACAGGGAACTCACCCTCCCCCACTGCAGTCATATTTTGGTCAATGTGGAAGTTTCCATATTCATAGCAATGTGATCTCACTCCTGGCCACAGTTCGATGGTCCAGAGATGAGCACCTGTGCCTACTTAGGATAGAGTCCTTCCTCGTGACTAGACATTTGCAGCGCGGCCTGGCTGTTCTTTTGAATTGAGGACATGCAAGTTGACAGCTATTAGTGGCCATGTGCCACCATGTTCCCAAGGAGCAGACAAAGCTGGCCACCTTAAGAATGACAGAGACACATGAAGAAGAAGCAGCCCCAGTTCCAGTTAGTCCTGAGGCATAGCTGTAGTCCTGCTCTTGGCCTCCCTGAGGTCCCCTAGGTGCCTCCTAATAACTTCCCCTTTTTGCTTAGGCTACATGGAATTGGGTTTTTGTAACTGATAACCCAAAGGGTCCAAACTAACCCATTAACTTACTGGGTCATTGTGGGGATTAAATTTACAAATATATATAAACTGCTTAAGCACACTACCTGGAGCCAAGTTGCCAAAAGTGGTAGCTGTGATGTTAGTAGATGGATGACCTTCCCAGCTAGAATTACCAAGCACTGCTACTTGATGCCCCACCCGCCCCCAGCGTGTCCTTGAATTCTCACACACTTTAACCCACAGCCTGGCCTGCACCGAGTGGGCAACGACCTTAGGGGCTTGGGGCCAGCCTCTCTCCAAAGCAGAAGCCAACTGCTGGTCAGAGCTTTACTTGATGGGGGCTAAAGAACACCTTTAAGACTCTATGAAGTGAGAAATGTCTGTGAGAAAGAGGCCACTGTAAAGAAATGACTGATCCATCCATCCTCAAGCCTTGAGAAATTATTACTCAGCCATTTTTCTCCATTGTTATTAGGCATAAATTGTAAAATATCCACAGAAAGGATTCTGTGGATTACTGGCCTGGTTCTTCACCTCTCCCTGCCTCCATGCCCTTTGCCACAAGGCCTTGCAGTTCCGTTTTCTCAGCAGCAGGTAGTATGTTCTCCCACCCCTTCATGTTGGGTGTGGCCATTCCACTTGCTCTGGCCAAGGGCCCGTTGGTGAAAAGCTGGTGTGCCAGTTCTAGCCTAGACCTTTAAAGGCCCTTGCACCTCTGCCATTGCCATGAGAAGAACATGGCCCAGTACCCTGGAAATCCAAGAAACATGGAACAGGGATGCCCCAGCTAAGGCCAGCCTAGGAAAGGCCAACCCAAACCAACTTGCAGATGCTGGGGAATCCCAGATGAGATCGGCAGAGCCATCCCAGCTCACCCACAGGCACATCAGTTAAATAAAAGTATATTGTTCAGGAAATGCAATTTTAAACAACAAGATACCAGTATACACTCCCACACTCATCAGTTGGGCTGAAATTTAAAAGACAACATCGAATGTTGATGAGGATATGGAGCACCTGGACTTCCATACATTGTTGGTGGGAAAGTAAAATGATACACCTACTTGGGAAAATATTTTGGCAATTTCTTAAAAGGTGAACTATATACTTACCACCCAGCAATCCCACTTCTGGATATCCAAGAAAAATGAAAATATGTGTCCACATAAAGACTTGTACTCACGTGTTCCGAGCAGCTTGATTCATAACAGCCCCAAACTGGAGGCAGCCTTAATGTCCGTCAGCTGGTAAATGGATAAACAAATGCAGCACATGCATACAACGGAATGAGTTGCTGATATGTGCAACCGTGTTGATGAGTCCCCAGGAGTCGTATGTTGAGTAAAATGCACGTGTGATATGATTCCATTCAGATGACTGTACAACAGGTGAGATGGACATGATGGAAGAAATTAGGACAGTGTTTGTCTCTGGGTTGGGTGTGGGTATTGACAAGGAAGGAATTGGAGGGAACTTTCAGGAAAGATGTTAAGGGGGAACAGTTCAGCACGGATGGAGGGGGAGATACAGGAGCAAGCAGTTATAGACGAGGCTGGAAGGTGGGTGAGGGCTTTGTGGGATCCATGTCAGGATTCTGTTGTTACCCTGAGTGCAGCCAGGAGTGGGGAAGACTCACGGGGCTCCAGGCTGTGCCAGAGACTCCTTCCTGTTTTTGCTCAGGCTGCCATCCCTCAAAGACACTTAGTAGTTCCCTGCTTCCTCCCAATTCTGGGCATTGTGATACTCTGGAAACATAATCCTTGAGGGCTAACATGTGACCAACTGCTGTCCTCCGGCCCCACACCTACACATAAGGAAAGGATGCTAATGTTGGGAATGTCAGGCTCATGGCAGGTGCCTCAATTTCCTAGGGCTGCCGTAACAAAGTACCACAGACTGGGGGACTTAAACAGCAGAAATTTATTCTTTCACAGTTCTAGAAGCCAGAAGTCCAAAATCGAGGTGTCCACAGCACCGTGCTCCCTCTGAAGGTGCTGGGGAAGGATCTGTTCCAGGCCTCTCTCTAGCTTCTGGTGGCCTCTGGTGTTCCTTGACTGTCCTCTCCCTCTGTCTCTTCACATGGCTCTTTCCCTACATGCATGTCTGTTTCTTTGTTCAAATTTCTTCTTTTTATAATGACATCAGTCAAATTGGATTAGGGTCCAACTTAACAGCCTCAGTGTAACTTGATCATCTGCAAAGACCCTATTTCCAAATAAGGTCACATTCACAGGTACTGGGAGTTAGGTCTTCAGCATTTTGGTGGGGGACATAATTCAACCTATAACAGCAGGCTCTATTTTGTTTTTGTTTTTTTGGCAGCTGGCTGGTACAGGCATCCAAACCCTTGATCTGACCTTGACAGGCTCTATTTTAACACTAGTATAGTTACATGGCTGATCTAGTAGTCTGTAAACTTCTCTCCTGAAAACCATCAGCTGTGCAGATTCGTTTATATCAACAACTCTAGATTTATCTGTTGATTAAGGCTCTCCCCAGGCTGCGGCTCTCTAAACTGAGGCCAGCTGGTTAGACAGGTCGTAGCACACAGAAGACTTCCAGCTTCAACAACACCAGAATAATGCAGCTTTCTCTCTGCTTATTTCCTCCAAATCTACCCAAAAGCAGCAAGAAGAACAAAAAGCAGAATCCAGACTTTAGCACAAATGTAACAAGTAGACATCGGAAACTCTTACCCATGAAAGTGTGAGAAAGGCATGCCAAATGATGTAAACACTAAACAAGACTGTGGGAAGATAGTTTGATGTCTTAGACGAAGCCAGTGGAGCACAATTCTGTAAATTCAGTGACACACCCCAGTGAACAAAGCAGGACAGGATGCTCAGCAGCGATGACCAAAGGCGACAAGGGAGGAGCCAGGCAGACCAGCCTTACTCAGGGAGGCAGGCTGCCTGTGAGGTTGGGCAGGGGAGACGAGCCTGCATCTGATGAGTTTGGGCGAAGGGGAGAAGCGAAGGCTAAAGGACTTCACTCAGACGGGTATCTGCGTCTTAAGAATATCTGCTGCCCTGGAACATGAGCAGGCCCCTTCTAACCATCAACTCCCCACACATAGTGGTCTAAACTTGCCTGGTTCAAAGATGAATAATAATCGGAAAGGAGCCAGCACAGGGTGTATGCAGATCCTGCAATCAAAAAAGAGAAGTGCTGGCTGGTTAGCTCAGTCGGTCAGAGTGTGGTGTTAACAACACCAAGGTCAAGGGTTTGGATCCCCGTACCAGCCAGCCCCGCCCCCCGCCCCCAAAAGGAGAAAAGCAAATGCAAATAAATAAACGCCAGTTGTAAAATGCTGCCTGGAAGCAGATGGAAATTTTGACCAAACATGGCCATGACGTCATAGCACTTAAACAATCAACTCTGATGAAAAGGGGTTTAAAAAGCAACCTCGCTGATCATCAGGAAAAGGCGAATCACAGTGTGGTCACTCCACACACCCACCAGACTGGCTAAAATGAAAGACAGCACCAAGTATCAGGACGATGTGGAGCAGCTGGGACACTCACATACTGCTCTTTGGGATGCAAACTGGTCCGACCACATTGGAAAGCAGTTTAGCAGGTTCATAAAATTCAACCTAACCTACATATATCTTATGAACCACTCCTATACAGGTACCCAACAAAAATGCATAGGTATGTTCACGAGAAGATGTGATCATTCTAGCACTATTCAACCTGGAAACAACCTACTGTTGAAATGAATAAATTGTGGTACATTTATACAATAAAATACAATTCAGTAACATAAAAGAACAAACTAGATAACATGCAACAATAGAAAACATGCTGAACAAAAGAAGCCAGGCACAAAAGAATCCATACCATGTGATTCCATTTATATTTTGCTCAAGAGCAGGCAAAACTAACCTGTGGTGCTAGAATTCAGAACCACAGTTATCCTTGCGGGGAAGCCATGTGGAGGCCACCACGAGGGGAGGCTTCTGGGGTGCTGGCAAGTTCTGTTTCTTCATTTGGTGTCTCGTTACATGGATGAAAAGTCATTGAGCTGTACATACATGGTTTGTAAGTTTCCTGCATGTGTGTTATACACATCCATAAAAAAGTAAATTTACCAAGGCAAGGGTTCAGATTCCCTTACCAGCCACCTGCAAAAAAAAAAAAAGAAAAAGAAAAAAAGTAAGTTTACTTTAAAATTTAAAAAAAAAAACAAAACTTCGAGACAGATATACAAGATCTCAAAAAGGAAAGGGTGAGACAATATATGGAGATGAATATGAGATGGCAGGCAGCGCTAAGGGATGAAGTGGAAGGCAGTGGATGCAGCACAATTGATTACAAGTGATCCTGAAACTATGAGAAGACAGAGAAACAAAACACACCAGGATTGAGAAAGGTGATAAAAATGAAGTGGAAATGGACAAAGAAAGATGCAGCACAATTGATTACAAGTGATCCTGAAACTATGAGAAGACAGAGTGAGAAACAAAACACACCAGGATTGAGAAAGGTGATAAAAATGAAGTGGAAATGGACAAAGAAGAGTTCAAAATGAGTAGACAAAAACCGATGGGCATGCAGTTCAAAGAATTACTACATATAGTTAATTAGTATTCTTGGAGGAGAAAAAATGGCAGAGGAAAAATGTTTAAAAAAAATAAGACGAGAAATTTCTAAAAATAAAATGACTTCAGTTAACATACTGGAAAGGGGTATGTTAAGGTCTCGAGGAAAAAATGACAACGCATGATAACACTGAGATATATCCCAGTAAATTTAGTACACTACATGGATAAGAGAAGACTCCACCAGATATCCAGCCATAAAATCTTCTTTAAGGGAAAATAACTGGACTGGCATCTGGCTTTTACATAGTAATCTTGAAGGTGAGAAGAAAGTCAAGTAATGCCATCCTCAAGGAAAGAAAGTATAACACAAGAATTTTATACCCAGCCAATTATTGTTTAAGCATTTTTTTCACATATTAAAAAAAGTATGTTACACATATAAACACACGAAAATCATGCATAAACAGAATATAATTTTCTTGAGTCTTTCCTGAATAAACTTCCCAAGAAGGAACTTCGGCTGACCAAAAATAAATGGAAAAACTAGACAAAAAGGACTGTAAGTGAGCATTGCATCTAATTAACTGAAGAACTTAGACTAAAACAAATGTGAGGAGTACAGTTACAGAAACTGTGATGTGAAAAACTCTGGGAATATTGAAATGGTACAACTGACAGTGATGGGAAGGGAAAGGTGACGGGACTGTGTTGTTGGGAAAATGGAACAATTTGGTCAGGCTCCCCTCACCTTGGAGCCCGTTCAGGGTCGTTCAGTAAACATTGTGTGTGTGGGTGGAGTAGGTGCGCCTGCATGGTGGCGCCACTTTCGCTGGTGTTTACTGCCTCGGGTGCCTGCCCTGCGTGGCCATGTTTTTACCAGACCTGCTGCTTCCAAGAACCGTATGGCCGGTTGCGTAGCTCAGAGACCTGCGTGAAGGGGTCTGGTGACCCAGCCTGGTGTGTGAAGGGTTTGTGACCCAGTCTGCGATGTCTCTCCACCAAGCCCATTTCAGAGTGATGGAAGAGGCATCTGCTCTATGATAGTATTGGGGGACCTGATCATGCCTCTCAGCATTGGACAGATCATCTAGGCAACAAGTTAACAGAGTAACCATTATTCTTTCAGAGGGAGAGAAGAAATCTAGGGTGATTAGACGGGGGTGGGGGCAGGGAACAGGGCATGGGGAGGGATTGGACAAGGGGCATGAAGAATAAGTATGATTTCTAACAATATATATGCTAGTAATATTGATTTGATCAACATATCTCAATGTTGAACCCCGAAAATATGTATAATCAATTCTGATTCAATAAAAATTTTTTTTAAAATTGTGAGTTCAAGGAGGTGATTGATGGTTGCACAACAGTGTAAATGTAGTTAATGCCACTGAACTGTACACTTGAAAATAATTACAATGGTTAAAAAAATAAATATTGTGGGACCGGCCCGGTGGCGCACTGGATAAGTGCGCCGCTTGAGAAGCGCGGTGGCGCTCCCGAATATGTATAATCAATTCTGATTCAATAAAAATTTTTTTTAAAATTGTGAGTTCAAGGAGGTGATTGATGGTTGCACAACAGTGTAAATGTAGTTAATGCCACTGAACTGTACACTTGAAAATAATTACAATGGCTAAAAAAAATAAATATTGAGTTCATAATGATTAAAAAAAATGCAAAAAGAAAAATTATATGGTCACTTCCAAAGATGCTGAAAAAGTATCTGTAAAGCTACACGACTACGCCATTTGTTGAGTAAGGCAATCATAACTAAAGCCGAAATGTTTCGTTATTTTACTAAGTTTCCATTTGTAGTGTCAGGGCTAGGGCTGAGAACTTTCAAACCCATTGTACAGACTAAGTAACCAGACCCCTCACATGCCAGGCTGGGTCACCAGACCCCGCGAGGGAGCGCCACCACGCTCCCAAGCG